GCCCAAGCTCGTCTTGAACTCCAAGCTCAAGCAATCCACCTACCCTGGTTTTGCAAAGGGCTGGGATTTTAAGAGTGAGCCACCAAGCTTGGGTAAACTGAGATTTATTTAAGTAAATTGATTAGTGCTTGGTGTGGTGGTGCACATTGGTTATGTCAACACTGGGAGGCAGAAGTGAAAGGATTAGTTAAGACCAGGAGTTTGGGCCTGGCCCAGGGGCTCACGCCTGTAATCCCTGCACTTCAGGAGGCAGAGGTGGGTGGATGATGAGGTCAAGAGATTGAGACCATCCTGGCCAACATGGTGAAACCCCGTGTCTACTAAAATACAAAAAAAAAAAAAAAAAGAAAAAAGCTCGGTGTGGTGGCATACACCTGTAGTCCCAGCTACTCAGGAGGCTGAGGCTGGAGAATTGCTTGAACCTGGGAGGCAGAGGTTGCAGTGAGCTGATATCATGCCACTGCATTCCAGCCTGGTGCCTGGTGACAGAGCAAGACTCTGTCTCCAAACAAACAAACAAACAAACAAACACCCCACAACACCAGGAGTTTGAGACCAGCCTGGGCAATAAAGTCAGATCTTGTCTCTACAAAAATAACAATAAAAAAGTAGCCTAGCATGATGGTACGCAGCTGTAGATTCAGCTACTCAGGAAGTTGAGGTGGAACGATTGCTTGAGGTTGGGAGGTTGAGATTGCAGTGAGCCATAATCATGCCATACATTCCAGCCCTCAGTAATAGAGTGAGACACTGTTTCAAAAAAGAAAAAAAATTGATAAGAAAGTCTTTATGCAACTCATTATAATTTTTTAAATGGAAACTCATGCTTGATATTACCTCAGCAGTGTGTCCCTGTAGAAAGCGTTAGAGCCTTTACCTGGACCTGCCAATGGATAAACAAAACAACAACAACAAAAACACACTATAGTTAATGTAAAAGAAGGTAAGAATACTGTTTTATTTAAAAAGTCATTTGATGGAGCCGGGTGCGGTGGCTCAAGCCTGTAATCCCAGCACTTTGGGAGGCCGAGGCGGGTGGATCACGAGGTCAAGAGATCGAGACCATCCTGGTCAACATGGTGAAACCCCCGTCTCTACTAAAAATACAAAACATTAGCTGGGCATGGTGGCGCGTGCCTGTAATCCCAGCTACTCAAGAGGCTGAGGCAGGAGAATTGCCTGAACCCAGGAGGCGGAGGTTGCGGTGAGCCCAGATAGCGCCATTGCACTCCAGCCTGGGTAACAAGAGCGAAACTCTGTCTCAAAAAAAAAAAAAAGAAAGTACCACTAAAGGAGCTGAATTATTAGTTCCCATTTTAAGATACTCTAAGATCTGAGGAAAGTCAGGAAAGAGGGAAGAGAAAATGAATAGAGAAAGAATGAGGAGGGCAGAGTGTACATGGAATAAATGAAGAAACAGCATGCAGGTGTATGTAAAGGAGGGTAGTAAAGTCAAATTGATTTGTAGAAGAAGAGCACGGGGATAGACATAGGAAAGAAGGTCACGTCAGCTTCCAGCACCAAAATGTGTCAGAGAATGAGAGTAACATCTTCCTGCTCTTGCTGTCATTCTCACTATTGGAGAGGCATTAAGGATTGAGGTACCTCACCACACAGACCTGTGTTTTATCTACCATCGATGAGTGTTACCATAAGTGGTCAGCCATGTATGGCCAGAATTTAGTTTTATAGAAAATGTTACAACTTCATCAGATAGTATCAAATAGGCCAAATTGACATAATTGAATAGTGTCATGTGATTTATGGAGAGGAAGTTAGAGAAGGTATAGCCTGATTAAAAGTTTATTAAAAACATTATGGCTTATAATGCAGAATTAAATTCAGGAATTTAATGGGGAAGAAATTGAGGCGAAGTTCCAGATGGGCAATTAAGGTAAACAAATGTGGAAGCACATAGGTGTAGAACTGGATATCCAAATTTTCATGAATTTGTTGAGGAGCTTCTGGAAAATGGACGTTCTCATTCAGCATGTGTGGGATTCTGCCCTTCTCAGGAGTACTCAGGTGGTGCTGGTGCTATTTCTTGGACACAGATCTGAATAACAAGGAAATAGCCCTCTTTAGAGAAATCTGGAAAAAGAGCCATTGGACAGCAATTTAAAAAAATGACAGAATCAGAGGCCGGGCGCGGTGGCTCAAGCCTGTAATCCCAGTACTTTGGGAGGCCGAGGCAGGTGGATCACAAGGTCAAGAGATCGAGACCATCCTGGTCAACAAAGTGAAACCCCGTCTCTACTAAAAATACAAAAAGTTAGCTGGGCATGGTGGTGCGTGCCTGTAATCCCAACTACTCAGGAGGCTGAGACAGGAGAATTGCCTGAACCCAGGAGGCGGAGGTTGTGGTGAGCCGCGATCGGGCCATTGCACTCCAGCCTAGGTAACAAGAGCAAAACTCCGTCTAAAAATTAATAATAATAATAATAATAATTGCATAGAGGCGACCAACATCATTCGCTGTTTTCCATTTCAGTACCCTTCTGAAATCCTTAACTATCTGGTGATGCTCAGAAATAACATGCAGAATTTTTATTTGTGTCCTATATCTACACTTTACATACCTTTCTGCCACTTTCTTTTGTGTACTTTTATTACATTTTCCAGATGTATCCACATTGATATGATTAGCTCTGGTTTAATTCACTTTACACATTTCATTGTATTCCCTTACACGAGGTGTGCCCAAACTTTTTACACAGGGGGCCAGTTCACTGTCCCTCAGACTGTTGGAGGGCCACCACATACTGTGCTCCTCTCGCTGACCACTAATGAAAGAGGTGCCCCTTCCTGAAGTGCGGCGGGGGGCCGGATAAATGGCCTCAGGGGGCCGCAGTTTGGGGAGGCCTGCCTTACACCATTCTACCACATTTAATTAGACTCTCCTGTTGCCGATAAATGAAGAAAGAAAAAAAAGGGCCGGGCGCGGTGGCTCAAGCCTGTTATCCCAGCACTTTGGGAGGCCGAGGCGGGTGGATCACGAGGTCGAGAGATCGAGACCATCCTGGTCAACATGGTGAAACCCCGTCTCTACTAAAAAGTGCAAAAAATTAGCTGGGCATGGTGGCACGTGCCTGTAATCCCAGCTACTCAGGAGGCTGAGGCAGGAGAATTGCCTGAGCCCAGGAGGCGGAGGTTGCAGTGAGCCGAGATCGCGCCATTGCACTCCAGCCTGGGTAACAAGGGCGAAACTCAGTCTCAAAAAAAAAAAAAAAAGGAAAAGAAAAATAGGCTGGGTGTGGTGGCTCACACCTGTGATCCCAGCACTTTGGGAGGCTGAGGCAGGTGGATCATGAGGGCAGGTGGATCATGAGGTCAGGAGAACGAGACCATCCTGGCCAACGTGGTGAAACCCCATCTCTATTAAAAATATAAAAAATTAGCTGGGCGTGGTGGCGCGTGCCTGTAGCCCCAGCTGTACGGGAGGCTGAGAGGTAGAAATCACTTGAACTTGGGAGGTGGAGGTTGCAGTAAGCCAAAATTGCACCACTGCACTCTAGTCTGGCAGCAGAGCAAGACTGTGTCTGAAAAAAAAAAAAAAAAAAGGAAAAATAATGCCAGATTAAAAGGGGCTTTTGTTTAATCAGTTTTTATCTGTGAATATTTACTATATGAGAGTTTAAGGCTGAGAAGTTCAGAATGTAAGCATGCACCACCGTATTTTACAAATGCCTTTAGAATTATGACTCATGAGCCTTTAGCCTATGAAGTTTTGACAATTCATTTCTCTGAAGAAGTTTACTGTTCACTAAAAAAAAAAAAAAAAGACTGAAAATAGCAAATGACATTGTCTTGTTTGACCTCTTGGACATCCTCAAATGAAACTGCAACTTACTCATGTCAAAATTCAGAACCAAGTTTTGAACAATATGTATAGGTTGTGAATATCTTGTGATCATGAGCCCATGATGATGAAATGACCTTACTTTTGCATTTTTTGCTTTTTCTTGACTTGTCTTACAAAAGCTTAAATTCAATAGTTTTATTTCTACAGAAAGCAGGAATATAATTTTTAAATATATTTCTGTCCTGTCTCATGGCATTGAGAACTCTTCAGATCTAGTGTGGACCTAGAGTTATTTTTACATGGGAACAATTATGTTTGTTTCTTAGTTGTTGTTGTTGTTGTTGTTGAGACAGTCTTGTTCTGTGATGTAGTTCAGAGTAGATAAGCTCTTAAAGCAGTCATCTTTCCAGTGGTTCTTTCTGTGGGCGGTAAAATGGCAGGTGAATTTGGGCCTTGTTATATGTAGGGCAGAGCACATAGCTACAACTAAGTAAAAGAGCCAGCACCTTTCCCAAGAGTATTGGCCAGAGTAACACATTAATATCTCTTGAGCTCTTCTCCACTGGCAGCTGGAAAGTTTTTGCAAGAGTCCCTGTTTCTGGTCTGATTCCTAGGTTTTGCTGACTTCTGGTGATATGGCATTTTATCCTAAACTGAAGTTTTAACTGAAGAGCTAAAGAGAATGTGTTGTGTTACAACAAATTAAGTGCAGTAGTTCCCCTTAACTGTGGGAGATACATTCAAATCCCTCAGTGAATGCCTGAAAGCACAAATAGTACTGAATCACTCACTGTTTTTTTTTCCTATACATATCTGTGTTAAAGTTTAATTTATAAATTAGGCGCAGTAAGAAATTAACAACTAAAAGTAAAATGGAAAATTATAGTAATATGCTGTAATAAAAATTACTTGAATGTGGTCTCTTAAAATATATGGCATGGTTCTCACCCTTTTTCCTGTGATGATGTTAAGTGATACAATGCTGCCTATGTAATGAGATGAAGTGAGGTATGATGTAGGCATTGTCACGTAGTGTTAGGCCACTATTCACCCCCTGACTCTAGGTCAGAAAAAAGATTATCAGCTTTGAGTCTTCCTGGACCTTCAGGCCTTAATGATGTTGATGGCTGGATGCAGGCAGAGACCATGTTGATGACTATGGCCGAACGGCACATGCAGTGTGAATGCACTGGACAAAGGAATGATTCACATCCAGGGATGGATAGAGGGCAATAGCTCAAGATTTTATTGTGCTTCTCAGACTGGCATACTAACACTTATAACTTGTTTACTTCTGGAGTTTTCAATGTAGTATGTTTGGAATATAGTTAACTGTTAGTAGCTGTAACTATATCATTCAAAACTACAGATGTAAAATCTGTGTTTGGACTTTGACTCATTTCTTGGTGTACAATTCTTAAACTCCTTCGAATTTCCAAAGTGATGTCTTTTGGTATCCTAATGATCAATGGCTGGAAGCTCCTAGGTAGATTCACGATGGGAACTGGTCACTATCCTGAAGACATGGCTGATTAGAGGGTTGAGTTCTTCTGTCTCACTCTGCAAACTCTGGGGAGGAGAGAAGGGATAAAGGTTGTCAGTCACCAGCAGCCAGTGATTAGTGATGCCTATGTATTGAAGCTTTCATAAAGACCCAAAGGGACTAGGTTTGGAGAGCTTCCAGATTGCTGAATACATGGAAGTTCCTGAAGGGTGATGTGTCCTGAGACGGCATGGAATCTCTGCCATTAGCCCCATACTTTGCAATATGCATCTGCTCATCTGTACCTTTTGTAATGTCATTCACAGTACACTGGTAAGTGTGTTTCCCTGAGTACTTTGAGCCATTTCAGCAATTCAATTTAACCCAAAGAGGGAGTCCTGGGAACCCCATTTTGAAGCCGACGGGTCATAAGTTCTGGAGTTTCAAACTTAGGACTGATGTAGGGAGGCAGTCTCATGGGACTGAACCCTTTACCTGTAGAATCTGATGCTATCTGTGAGACAGTGTGAGAACTGAATTAAATGACACCCAGTTTGTGTCATCTGCAGAAGTGATTGCTTGCTTGTTGGTGGGGAAAACCTCTCCACACGTTTGGTCACAGAAGCCTTCTTTCTTGATTGTTGCTGTAGTGTGAGAACAGAGAAAAACATGGCAAGTGTGTCTTTTCCACACATATAGTGGATAAGGGATACTAGTTTACTGTTTTAACTGCACCCCTCATATTTTGGTCCAGAAATCATGCCATTTGACACTGGTCACTCATTCCATCTGTTCTGCTAACAATACCATTTTTAGCCAATGATTTGGCTAGGATGACTCATATACTGCAGCTCACTTGTAGATATCAAATTTTGATAAATTTATTCTTCTTTGTGTTTAATATATACAAAGTAAGGGAAGTAAGAGTTCTACTGCATTAATTACATACCAATAGGTATAATTTATATTAATTCTAATAAGGTCCCAGGTATGCTCTCAAATCAATTATTTGTAACAAAGCATCAATCCTATACTTTAAAGAAAAATGATCTAAATCATGTAGACAACTGTGCATATTTTTTCTTATGAAGGTAGAGTCTTGCTATGTTTCCTAAAGCCTCAAACTTCTGGGTTTCTCAAGTGATCCTCCTTCCTCAGGCTCCCAAATAGTTGAAATTACAGGCATGCATCACTGTACTTTCTTATGGTTTTAATATACATTATTGATTTAAAATGGTTTTATACATTATTGATTTAAAATGCATTTTACCTTTTCCTTTAATAGATTCTGGGAGTTCTAATGAATCTGCAGTCAGGTAGGATTTTACAGATTTAAAAAATTGTTAACTAAGAAAATATAGATGGAAGAAATTAATATCTATTGAGTGTTGTATTCTGGGCTAACCACCCTATTTTGTGCTATGTATTTATCTCATAAAGCCATCACAACATCTGTTTTCTTATAACCTACTGTTTATTAAATAAGCAACTGTGGTTTAGAGAGGTTGATTAATTGGATCATGATCCCGTAGTTTACAAAATAGCTGACCCACAGTTTGACCGTCAGTCTATCTGGCTTTCAAATCTTTTCTCTTGCTCCTCAGTACAGATTGATAGAGATATCTGTGCAGCACTTTGATTAATGTATAGGTCTGAGTAAGATTAGTCAGATTAATTAATGTCTAAATTAATGAGTTTAAATACGTTAAACTCTCATTTTAGGTTACTGTTAGAAATGAGGTTAGTCACTGAATTTGTCCTAATAAATCTGACAATTTTGGTGGTAACCAGCATTTTTTTTTTTTTTTAATTAACCATCAAAGTCTTTAAGGCAGAGTTAAGGTTTGGCCATAGAACTGGAAGTTTTACAAAACCAAGATTTGGGAAGTCTTGAGAGAAATGATTTAACTGCCAGTTTTGTTTTCCCTTTAGACTAGTATTTCTTCCTACTTCCATAATGCTTTTTTATTATTTTTTCTTTTTCCATGACTTTTTTTCCTTGGTGTTGCTTTTGTTATGTTTTCAAATTCTGCTGGGTATGTATTCCCAGTTTTCCTATAGACAGAACCAAAAGCACATAGAATTACAGATATTTAAGGACTCTTAGGACTAATTAAAATATCTTCTAGTACTTCCATCTGTGTCAAACATTCTGGTCAAATGATTTTCTAGATAGAGAACTTGAGACTCAAGAGATTAGGATGCTTTTTTTGGACATAAGATGTGGTAGATACGAGATTTGCGCCGGGCGCGGTGGCTCAAGCCTGTAATCCCAGCACTTTGGGAGGCCGAGGCGGGTGGATCACAAGGTCAGGAGATCAAGACCATCCTGGCCAACATGGTGAAACCCCACCTCTACTAAAAATACAAAAAGTTAGCTGGGCATGGTGGCACGTGCCTGTAATCCCAGCTACTCAGGAGGCTGAGGCAGGAGAATTGCCTGAACCCAGGAGGCAGAGGTTGCGGTGAGCCCAGATTGCGCCATTGCACTCCAGCCTGGGTAACAAGAGTGAAACTCCGTCTCAAAAAAAAAAAAAAAAAAAGGAGATTTGAACTTGTTTTAAAGCCCAATACTCTTCCTTCTTTTTTTTATTCTCTTGGCATTTGTTGTTGTTGTTGTTGTTTGAGACAGAGTTTCGTTTCTGTTGCCAGACTCGAGTGCAATAGCACAATCTTGGCTCACCGCAACCTTTGCCTCCCGGGTTCAAGCGATTCTCCTGCCTCAGCCTCCTGAGTATCTTGGATTACAAGCATGCGCCACCATGCCCGGATAATTTTGTATTTTTAGTAGAGATGGGGTTTCTCCATGTTTGTCAGGCTGGTCTCAAACTCCTGACCTCAGGTTATCTGCCCGCCTTGGCCTCCCAAGTGCTGGCATTACAGGTGTGAACCACCATGCCTGGCCTGGCATGTGTTAATAATACAAAGGGGGAGTGGGTCTGGTGCACCCAGTGGTTAGAATGAGAAGGGAATTAGCTGGTGAACCCAATGGAAATGGCTAAGAATGGATGACCAGGGCAAGGCCAAGTTTGAAGAGAAATGACACTGGATATGGATTATTCAATAAGAGATTAGAATATTGGGGTTTATGACCAGTCTGATAAATTATAAAGATGAGACACAAGATACTGGGAATTAACTACAAAGGCACATTAAAATAGAGGGTTCAAGAAAGATCTAAACAGACTGCTGTGCTTTTTAAATCAAGAACTGACAAACTTAAAGATTTTGGCTGTAAGATGCTAAAACATTTGGAGACACTTGGAAGAGTCTCTACAACAGCAGACAGAAATGTGGTATCATATAATTCCATCCTGACTTACAGAGGGGTGGCTCAGAGCCCCTTCCGTACTGATGGGCTGGAGACTGCTGAACTACATAGATCTGTGGCCCAGGGCAGGTGTCTCCTCATCTCTGCCTCTTTTCTCAATTCACTGATGTCCTTCCCATATCCATGTAGGTTGGATCATGGGCATCATTGGCTGTCAAATCAGTCATGAAGTTCAGCTGGGTAGTTGGAGGTGTGTCTGTGCTGGTAGTTAGTAGAGTCTCCAGTTAGGTTGTTTTTCCAGAGCAGGGATAAACAGCGCTCCCACTCCTGGTCATTTGAGAACATCCTTTCAGGAATCTGTGCTTTCATAGACTGAAGATTTGAAGATTACTGGAAACTGCCATGGAGCCCTGCATAAGTGGAATCTGGAAGTGGGAACCCATAGGAAGAAAGATATTTAGATCGTACTTAGGGAAATAGAGGTACAACTGCCAGGACTCTGTTTTTCCAGCAGTTTCTCTTGTTGGATATCTGAGTGCCTATGAAGGTTTTTAAGGGCTAGTTTATGTGGACCTGAAATAAGGTAGGACCTATAGAGTGAAAGTAATTGGATTTTTATAATTGTTAATGTTTTATCTTTCTGGGAAGAGTATCCTCAATAAGAAAATATACCTTCATTATTAGACTTTTGTACATTTAGCTCTCACACATTTCAAAGACAGCAGGGGATTCTCTGCACTTTTAGGACAAAGGAAAGCACTAGGACCTTCGTAAGTGGTTTTCATGCTGAGGAATCAAGACTGCCATTTTCAAGTGACACAGACTAGTCTTTTAACCAGAGATAGATAATGGACAAGAGACAGTGGATCTTTCTACCTTGTTTTAGGTCACAGGGTTCCTACCAGTTTAGGTGACAAAAGTTACGTCATCCATTAACTGAATTTCGTGTTCTGCTTCAAGACAGATAACTTGTGAGGGTAAATTTTGCCAAACTCCACCAATATATTGGCTGTCACTCTTTGTTATAGAGCTCAGTCAGTTTTAATTGAATATTTTATAGATTAAGACAGCTGGAGGCAGAAATAGGTAACCAAAATCTATTTTTAGAACAGAGGTCATATTTTAATTGTGTCAAGAAATGTTACTTGATATACAGATGGCTGATCTTTTCCCAGATTGTGTTTTTGTTTTTTGGAGGGGGAAGCTGAACATGAAATGGCAGTTAAAAAAATTTGTAAAAAATCAACAACGAAAAAAATCAACTTGCTCATTTTTATTGTATATTTTTGCTCTAAAGCATTCTTCACTAACTGCGTGTGGATCATGCCCTAAACCAGATGATGAAGACTTGACTTACTACTAAGGTAAAGTGGTCTCTTATAAAATTTTCTCACCAGTCAACTTTTGCTAGTATTTACTTTTAAAATTTAGCAGTGGTTTACCTATTATTGTTTTATGATGGTTATGGAAAGTTGGTCAGAGAAAACCATAGACATATGGCTAGTTCATTTAAAATTTTTATTTAATGTTGGTAACTAACAAAAGATTGATGAGTACTGAGAAAGACTGTGGGCTGAACAAAAATGAACTGGAAGATACATAGCAACAGAAAAATCACATTAGGAAATGCTTTCCCCAAAAGAGAAAATATGAAATTTGGTTAAGATTTAATTAGATAAATATTAATACTTTGATTTTTAAATCATACTACTGTGACATCAGTATTTTTGCCAGTATAAATCTTCAGTGGATCAAATTACTTGTGGTAATCATGGAATCTCCCTGTCACCTTTTAGTTGAAAAACTGTACAACAAATAGCATATGGCTGTTTTTTCTCAGACACTTATTATTTGGGTATTATATATTTGGTACAAGAGATTGTTCTTCTACTTATGTTACTAGTTCTGTATTGAGATTAAAATATTAAAAATTGTAGAAAGAATAGCTGGGTGTGGTGATATACACCTATAGTCCCAGCTGCTTGGGAGTCTGAGGTTGCCTGAGCCCAGGAGTTTGAGAACCACCTGGGCAGCATAACAAGGCTGCATCTGATTTCTTTCTTTTGGGGTACATATGTGGAATATGCAGGTTTGTTACATAGGTATACACTTGCTATGGTGGTTTTGCTGCATCCATCCCCGTCATCTAAATTAGGTATTTCTCCTAATGTTATCCCTCCCCAATCCCTCCACCTCCCGCTACCCCTCCCTTACCCCCCTCTCCTCCTGACAGGCCCCAGTGTGTGATGTTCCCCTCCCTGTGTCTCTGTGTTCTTATTGTTCAACATCCACTTGTAAGTGAGAACATGCAGTGTTTTGTTTTCTGTTCTTGCATCAGTTTTTTGAGAATGATGTTTTCCAGTTAAATCCATGTCCCTGCAAAGGACATGAATTCATCCTTTTTTATGGCTGCATAGTATTCCATGGTATATATGTGCCATATTTTCTTTATCTAGTCTATCACTGATGGGCATTTGGGTTGGTTTTAAGTCTTTGCCATTGTAAACAGTGCCACAGTAAACGTGTGTGCATATGTCTTTATAATAGAATGATTCATAGTCTTTAGGGCATATACCCAGTAATGGGATACCTGGGTCAAATGGTATTTCTAGTTCTATATCCTTGAGGAATTGCCACACTATCTTCCACAGTGGCTGAATTAATTTACACTCCTGCCAACAATGTAAATACGTTCCTATTGCTCCACATCCTCTCCAGCATCTGTTGTCTCCTGGTTTTTTAATAATCGCCATTATAACTGACATGAGATGATATCGCAATGTGATTTTGATTTGCATTTCTCTAATGACCAGTGATGAGCTTTTTTTTCGTGTTTGTTGGCTGCATAAACATCTTTTGAGAAGCGTCTGTTCATATCCTTTGCCCACTTTTTGATAGGGTTGTAAATTTGTTTAATTTCTTTATAGATTCTGGATATCAGCCCTTTGTCCGATGGGTAGATTGCAAAATTTTTTTCCCATTCGGTTGGCTGCCAGTTCACTCTAATGATTGTTTCTTTTGCTGTGCAGAAACTCTTAAGTTTAATTAGATCCCACTTATTTATTTTGGCTTTTGTTGCTAGGTCTTATGTTTAAATCTTTAATACATCTGGAGTTAATTTGTGTATAAGGTGTAAGGAAGGGATGCAGTTTCAGCTTTCTGCAGATGGCTAGCCAGTTTTCCCAACACCACTTGTTAAATAGGGAATCCTTTCCCCATTGCTTGTTTTTGTCAGGTTTGTCAAAGATCAGATAGTTGTAGATGTGTGTAATTACTTCTGAGGCCTCTCTTCTATTCCATTGGTCTATATCTCTGGTTTTGGTATCAGAACCCTGCTGTTTTGATTTACTGTAGCCTTGTAGTATAGTTTGAAGTCAGGTAGCATGATGCCTCTAGCTTTTTGTTGTTGTTTTGCTTAGGATTGTCTTGGCTATGCGGGCTTTCTTTTAGTTATATATGAAGTTTAAGGTAGTTTTTTCCAATTCTGTGAAGAAAGTCAATGGTAGCTTGATGGGGTAGCACTGAATGTATAAATTAGTTTGGGCAATATGGCCATTTTCACAATATTGATTCTTCTAACCATAGCATGGAATGTTTTTCCATCTGTTTGTTTCCTCTATTTCCTTGAGCAATGGTTTGTAATTCTTCAAGAGGTCCTTTCATCCCTTGTTAGATGTATTCCTATTTTACTCTCTTTATGGCAATTATGAATGGGAGTTCACTCATGATTTGGCTGTTATTGGTGTACGGGAATGCTTGTGACTTTTGCACATTCTTAGACTTTGCTGAATTTGCTTATCAGCTTATGGAGATTTTGGGCTGAGATGATGGGGTCTTCTAAATATACAATCATGTCATCTGCAAATAGAAACAATTTGACTTTCTCTTTTCCTAGTTGAATACCCTTTATTTCTTTTTCTTGCCTGATTTCCCAGACTATGTTGAGTAGGAGTGGTAAAGGGCATCTTTGTCTTGTGCCAGTTTTCAAAGGGAATGCTTCCAGTTTTTGCCCATATACTGTTTTTGTCTGTGGGTTTGTCAAAAATAGCTCTTATTTTGAGATACGTTCCATCAATACCTCGTTTCTTGAGAGTTTTTATCACAAAGGTCTGTTGAATTTTGTCGAAGGCGTTCTCTGCCTCTATTGAGATGATCATGTGGTTTTTGTCTCGGTTCTGTTTATGTGATGGATTATGTTTACAGATTTGCATATGTTGACCCAGCCTTGCATTTTGAGGATGAAGCTGACTTGATCATGATGGAGCTTCTTAATGTGCTGTTGGATTCAGTTTGCCAGTATTTTATTGAGGATTTTCCCATTAATATTCATCATGGATATAGGCCTGAAATTTTCTTTTTAAGTTGTGTTTCTGCCAGGTTTTGGTATCAGGATGACGTTGGTCTCATAAAATGAGTTAGGTAGGATTCCCTTTTTGTATTGTTTTGAATCGTTTCAGAAGGAATGGTACCAGCTCCTCTTTTTACCTATGGTAAAATTCGGCTGTGAACCTGTCTGGTCCTGGACATTTGTTTGGTAGGCTATTAATTGCTGCCTCAATTTCAAACCTCATTATTGGCCTATTCAGGGATTTAACTTCTTCCTGGTTTAGTCTTGGGGGTGTATGTGTCCAGGAATTTATCCGTATCATCTAGATTTACTGGTTTATTTGCAAGAGGTGTTTGTAGTAATATCTGATAGTAGTTTGTATTTCTGTGGGATCAGTGGTGATATACCCTTCATCACTTTTTACTGCATCTATTCGTCTCTCTTTTCTATTAGTCTGCCTAGTGGTCTATTTTGTTGATCTTTTCAAAAAACCACCTCCTGGATTCCTTGATTTCTTTGAAGGGTTTTTTGTGTCTCTATCTCCATCAGCTCTGCTCTGAACTTAGTTATTTCTTGTCTTCTGCTAGCCTTTGAATTTGTTTGATCTTGCTCCTCTAGTTCTTTTAATTATAACAATAGAGTGGATTTACTTTTTTTTTTTTTTTAAAGATGGGGTTTCACCATGATGGCCACGCTGGTCTTGAACTCCTGGCCTCAGGTGATCCACCCACCTCAGCCACCCAAAGTGTTAGGATTACAGGCGTGAGCCACCACACCCAGCCTAATAGAGAAGATTTAAAATAAAGTATCCCAGCCTCCCTCCCCTGCTATGACTTTTCATGGGTTTTTTTGCTTTTATCTGTATGCTTATTTTTTACCTACTTTTAAAATTCTATTCCCTATTTTTTAAAAAAACATAATCACATTTATTTTTAAAAATAAACTTTGGATCACTACCAGAAATGGAGAATTATTAACACTTGCCCAAAATAGATGATCGTTTAAACAAATAAATAAAACAGGAGCTCAAAACCCACTCTCCTTGTTACAGAGAGAGGCTACCGGCTGTTAGGTTCTGAAAGCAGGCTAGAACCCAACTAAGACTTTCTCATAATCATAAGGACTAAATGAGAAATGAAAAACAAGCCAGGTGCAATGGCTCACACCTGTAATCTCAGCATTTTGGGAGACCGAGGAGGGAAGATGAGCCCAGGAGTTCAAGACCAGCCTGGCCAACATGGTGGAATCCTCTCTCTACTAAAAAGACAAAAATTAGCTGGGCTTGGTGGTCAGTGTCTGTAATCCAAGCTACATGAGAGACTGAGGCAGGAAAATTGTTTGATCCTGGGAGGCAGAGATTGTAGTGAGCCAAGATCGCACCACTGCACTCCAGACTTGGTGACAGAGTGAGACTCTGTCTCAAAAAAGAAATAAAAAATAAAACAAACATTCATCTGTCATTGAATATGTCTGCACACAACCTGAAACCATTTCAGGCACAACTGAACCTCACCATTGCAAAAAGCCCTGATTTAAAGCATTCAGGTCACCTATAGCTAATGAGAGCCCCTAAGCTGCTCAAATCGATGTGGCAGTCAGTAGAGCAGAGACTGCAAGCACCAACCCTGGAGTCTGCTAAGGTTCAAATCTCAGTTCTGTCGCTTACCAGCAGTGACCTTGGGTAATGGCCTCTCAGTTTCTGGTGCAGTAAATAGTACCTTTACAAGAGTATTGTAGACAAGGCACTTTGCATAGTGGGCGCTTGTAAGCTGCAGCTACCATCATCACTGAAGGAGCAAATCTCACCTGCCCTGTCTGTGCCTTCTCAGCCTCCATCATCTTCCAAGTCTCCTCCTTCTTGGCTTCGGCTTTCTGCAGCTCTGTGGTGCTGCTGTGGTGCCTGCTGATGTCCCCACTACAGGAGGAGGAGCTGCTGAGCTGTCTGGAGAAGTAAAGCACAGGGATGTCAACCACACAGGCACACATGTAAACATATATATGCACCTGTGCACATGTGCAAACACCTGCACCCCCTCCCCCACCATCTCATTCCCTAGGGTTATAGGTCCCCAGAGAAAGGGAATGTCTCAGGCAGGAATGAGGCCTGTGGAAAACACAATCTGTGATGATCTCTGGGGGTCTGCAAAAAGCCCATGACCACCGATATGCAAAAAGTGTGTGCTTTTTTTTTTTTTTAAAGATCAATTCTAATTGATCTCAAATAAAAAGTAAAACAGAAAGGGCACGTCTTAGATCATCTTTCAAACATGAAAAAGTTTCAAAATAGGAAACATGATGAAGAAATAGGGCAAAGTACCTAGTTCATTCAATTTTTTTGTTTTACAGAGGTGGTGGGGGTTGGGGTGGGATCTTGCGCTGGCTGCTCATTCATGCAAGCATGTTCCTCAGAAAGCACTTTTTGGCTGGTGCAGTGGCTCACACCTGTAAACCTAGCACTATGGGAGGCCAAGAACGGCAGATCACTGGTGGCCAGGAGTTCAAGAACAGCCCGGCAAACATGGTGAAACCCCGTCTCTACTAAAAATACAAAAATTAGGCAGGCATGGTGGCAGCCACCTGTAGTCCCAACTACTAGGGAGGCTGAGGCAGAAAAATCACTTGAATCCAGGAAGCAGAAGTTGCAGTGAGCCATGATTGTGTCACTGCACTCCAGCCTCAGCAACAGAGACCCTGTCTCAAAAGAAAAAAAAGGACTTTCTGTACATTCGTGGTCATTATCTTTGTGCAGACCCCAGAGAAAATCACAGACTGCGTTGCCCACAGTTGTGTGTTCAGTGGCTGAGTTGGTGCCACCGAACACTGAACTGCAGCCTGAGCAACAGAGGAAGACTCCATCTCAAAAAAAAAAAAAAAAAGAAAAGAAATTATGGAGACCATGCAAAACACAGATGTGGTTCTTTGCCATGGAACTTTCTATGCCTTCCTCTACCTACTTATCTCCTGAACAAGATTACAAACTACCAGAGGTTAAGAGCCCCATGTGATTCATCACTGCACCCCCAAAACTGTGCCTCCTGAAAACACTTCCTGAAGGCTAAATGAACCTCCAGTACCTCCCCTCTTTGATCTAGGGCCTAGGGTGTTGGCCAGACTGGTCTTGAACTCCAGTCCTCAGGTGATCCACCTGCCTCAGCCTCCGAAAGTGCTGGGATTACAGGTGTGAGCCACCATGCCCAGCCAACTTAGCCAGTTTTTAAAAGCTAGCATGATTAACATACTGCATATGCTATAAATCCCCAGGGATCTGAGGAAGCCCTCTATAATCAAACACGAAGATACTTCCTTTTTTGTAGAGATGGGGTCTTGCTGTGTTGCCCATGGTGGTCTCAAACTCCTGGCCTCAAGTGATCCTCCTGCCACAACCTCCCCAAGTGCTGAGATTACAAGCATGAGTCTCCATTCCTGGCCTTGGGATAGTTTTATATCGAATGCTACTTCACAAAGATTAAACCTTCCAGGCCCCTCCGAGTGACCTGAGCAAAGACCTACACCACGTAGGGAACTCAAGTGTCAGAAACATGGGCAGACGGTGAAATCACGAGGCCTGTGTGAGTCATACCACCTGCCCCCACTTACTTCTGTAGTTGCTTCCCCGCACTGTCTGTCACCAGCATGTCATTCTCCATTTGCTTTGCTTCCTTCCCTGGACCGCTGATGCCCGTGACCCCTGACAAAAAAGAGACAAAGGAGGGGAGGGGAGTTATATGAGCCAGATGCTAAAATCAAGAGCAAGAAAAACTGGCCACTTCAGGGAGGAGATGGCAGACCACCAGCCAGCCAGGATGCTCGGAAAGTAGACCTGCTCTGCAGAGGCCATAAACAGGCTGTCTGGTTGAAGGGCAGGTGGTACTGGAGTTCAGTCCCTTGGGGCAGGAGCAGTGCTTTGCAGCTGTGCAGAGAGCTCCATCCACTGAGGGCACTGGGCCCAAGCCGGCATCCTGTACCAGCAGTGATGGGTAAAACCCAGCCCAGATAACAGTATTTCTGCTGTGCTAAGCTCACTTTCCCAGGACCAGGATAGAAGGAATTGCAGGAGGGAAAGGGCATAGCCCCCTGGTTCCCAAGCACTGCAAGAAGAGGTGATATTCAAAATAGATAACCAGTTTGACAAGGGCATCATCCAACAGGCAGAGGCCCAGGGACCCCTGTAGTGCCAGGAATTAGCCCTTTGGTGCTCAGATCACAGAGAGCTCTGGATAGTTCATTGTAAAAGGTACCGGGAGCACTGGCTGTTTCCACAGTAATAAGGAAGTATTTCAACAATTGGGGAACCTAGTTCTGCCAACAACCAGGTGAGCTTCAAAGTGGGCACTTGCCCAGTTGAGTCTTCAGATGAGACCCCAGCCCTGGCAGATGCCTTAGCTGCAGACTTAGGGAAGGACCCTGATAAGAACACCAAGGGACAGGACAGCTGGGTATCTGCCCCGATCCCAGGAAGAATCCACCCAGCATCAACAATAATCACTAAAACATCAACAATGACAATGACAGCCAACATCAAGGGTGCTCGAGCACCATGCTGTGTTGAAACAGATCGTATCTCTTTCCTGGTTCACAATACCTCAGTGATGATGATTACAGCCCCTACTCTGAACTAGCTGCCTCATTCTTTGCTGCCAGGAGAGAAAGCAGCACAACATAAGGCAAGAAAGGACTGACCCCAGAAGGGGTGAGAGAGGACCCAGAACGGAAGATACAAAAGGGATAAATATGCGGCAGGCAGCGTGGTCAGGGTGACTGTGGGAACATGCTCAGGTGACGCAAATAAAAGCAGAACTCAAGAATGCAGGGTCTCAAAGAAACAGCCACAGGGAGACACAGACATGCCTGGAAGGGAAGTGGGTGCTGCAGATCATTCCTGGACTCAGGAAGGCACTCTGCACCAGGGATTCTCAATCATGGTTGCAAGTGAATCACAGGGGGCTTTATAAATGAGCAGGTGGCAGTCAGGCACAGTGGCTCACATCTGTAATCCCAGCACTTTCAAGGCCAAACCGGGCAGATCACTTGAGGCCAAGAGTTCAAGACCAGCCTGGCCAACATGGCAGGCTAAGGCGTTTGTGCCAGGATGGAAACCAGTGCCTTCTGCTTCCTGCATTAAGAAAGCCTTGTAGGCCGGGCACGGTGGCTCAAGCCTGTAATCCCAGCACTTTGGGAGGCCGAGGCGGGTGGATCACGAGGTCAAGAGATCGAGACCATCCTGGTCAACATGGTGAAACCCCGTCTCTACTAAAAATACAAAAAATCAGCTGGGCATGGTGGCGCATGCCTGTAATCCCAGCTACTCAGGAGGCTGAGGCAGGAGAATTGCCTGAACCCAGGAGGCGGAGGTTGCAGTGAGCCAAGATCACTCCAGCCTGGGTAACAAGAGCGAAACTCCATCTCAAAAAAAATAAAAAAGCCTTGTAAGAAAAAAAAAATGTGAACTGAGCTGAATGGCAAGCTTGGTGCCATAGTTGATTTCCATTATGGTGCTGCCTCTTCATATTATCACCAACTGGTCACAAAGTGTGGACTGTCAGTGTCCTATGGACCACATGTTAAGTGTGTTTAGACCACAGATATGGCATGGTCTAAACACACTCTAAAATTTACTTATTTTGGGCTGGGTGTGGTGGCTCACACCAGTAATCCCAGCACTTTGGAAGTCCGAGGTAGGTGGATCACTTGAGGCCAGGAGCTCCACACCAGTCTGGCCAACCTGGCAAAACCACGTTTTTGTTTAAAAAAAAAAAAAAAAAAATTAGCTGGGCATGGTGATGCATGCCTATAATCCCAGCTACTCAGGAGACTGAGACATGAGAATCTGGAAATCAGAACTCCAGGCTGTCTGGTCTCTGCACTCTGGGGCTTACCCCAGTCACTCCAGGTTCTCAGGCCTTTGGCTGTGAACTGAAAATACCACCATCAGATTCCCTGGGTCTGAGATATTCAGACTTGGCCTGAGCCATGCTACCAGCTTCTCAGGTTCTCCAGCTTGCAGAGGGCCTAACATAGAACTTCCCCATAATCACATGATCCACTTTCCCTAGTAGATCCCCTCTCACCCTCAATCCATCCACTCATCCATCATCTATCCATCCACCTATCATGTATCCAACCACTATCTATCCATCTATCATTTATCTATCCATCCATCCATCCATCCTACTGGTTCTGTCTCCATGTAATAAACAGGGACCCCACCTCTGCATGCCAACCACCTTCAACTGGGTCATGGACATGGGCCATTTCTGTACAATGCTCAACCGCAGAGACCCACGAGACAATTTCTCCCATCACCTGGACCACCCAAACAGCCTCCCACCAGGGTCACGAGGTCCTCTGCTGATGTCCTAGTGGCTGATACCATGGATGTCCCAGATTTCCACCCACCATCTGGGTCTAACTGAAGGCCTGTATCCTGGGCATCCCTGGAATAGAATGAGGAACTGAACCTGGGTCTGGATATTTTCTCTGTAAAGCCAACGGGTCTGTGGAGAATCCAGTGCACCAGACTGGCTCTGTCACAGCTTACCCCGGAACAGGCAACAGAAACAAAAACAGCCACCCTACTGCCCCCATGGCCACAATCCACAGCCCCCATGTCACTTGCAATTTCACATTCCAGCTTATGCAGGGATGTGTCCTACGTCCTTGTTTAATTGGCAGTTGCTTTTCTTTCTTACTGTTACACACAATAATAACATATCATGCAATTGATGGTGTCTGCACATACATTTGAAGAGTTAATGTATGTGCAGTGGAGGCCCTGACCTGATTCCCAAAAGAATGATAGAGTCGGCGCAGTGGGGCACACCTTACGGTAGAGTCTAAAATCTAGTACAGCCAAAATCGACTGCAAATGGGGCTTCTTTGGCTAAACAAATGTACATGGTCAGCTGGGTGTGTTGGACAGAAACACTTCAAACAGCAGGAACACAAAGGATGCCAGATGCTCAGAAAGGGACAGAAAACGTGAGACTGACTCAAGGAGGGACAGTCACGTGCCATGGCCAACAGCATCAACTGCCTGCTTGGGCAGCGTCTTTCTCTCTCCTTTTCTTGAGATAGAGTCTCACTTGTCTCCCAGGCTGAAGTGCAGTGGTGCAATCTTGGCTCACTGCAACTTCTGCCTCAGCCCCCTAAGTAGCTGGGATCAGAGGCCCTCACCACCACACCCAGCTAATCTTTATATTTTTAGTAGAGATGGGGTTTCACCATGTTGGCCAGGCTGGACTCAAAACTCCTGACCTTGTAATCCACCTGCGTTGGCCTCCCAAAGTGCTGGGATTACAGACGTGAGGCACCATGCCCAGCTTCTGTCTTCTTTTCTACTCAGTTGCCTTAATGACTTGTGAGATTTTACCCCATTTGGCAGAAAAACAAACTGAGGCCCAGAGGAGAAGGGAGAATCACAAAGCTAGTAACAAGCAGCACTGCCAGGGCTGCAGCCTGGATTCAGGCCACAGGGGCGGGAAGGAGGGAACCGGGGCATTCTAGAGGACAAGGAAACACACTTACTTCCTAGACTTGGTGCATTTCTTCTTCCAGTTCTTTACCAAAACAGGCATGACTTGTTCTGACGTGTCCTCCTTGTTTAAGGACCAGAAGCCACTGCTCTCCAGGGCTTGGTGGTAGCCCTGGACCATCAACCTGAGGCCAAGACACAAGGGAGTTAGGCAATGAGAGTCAATGAGAGGAGAGGACGGGGCTCACTCCACACTCATGCCCATGCTGCGCCCTTCGCCAGCATAACTGCCTGCTGCGAATGAAGGCAGCCACACAGCTGGGGATGTCTGAATGTGGATAGACATTTGCACATATTACAAGATTATTATAGCTCATTCTGTTGGGTCATAAAAGAAAAACAGCTTTCTTTTTCGGGGGTGCATAGAAAAGATTTGGGGGAAAAAAGATGATTTAGGAGGAAAATATCAAGATGGCTCTAATTCACTCTATTTTTTTGATTCATTTTTTGTTTTTTTGAGATAGAGTCTCGCTATGTCACCCAGGTTGGAGTACAGTAGCGGGTTATTGGCTCACTGCAACCTCTGCCTCCTGGGTTCGACCAATTCTCCTGCCTCAGCCTCCCAACTCTGGGACTAAAGGCAAATGCCACCATACCTAACTAATTTTTTGTATTTTAGTGGAGATGGAGTTTCACCGTGTTGCCCAGGTTGGTCTCAAACTCCTGAGCTCAGGCAATCTACTCCTGTCTGCCTACCAAAATGCTGGGATTAAAAGTATTAGCCACCATGCCCGGGCCTCATTCCTTTATTATTTATTTGGTGACAGGATCTTACTGTTGTCACCCAGGATGGAGTACAGTGGCATGATCACAGCTCTCTGTAGCCTCCAGCTCCTGGCCTAGAGTGATCCTCCCACCTCAGCCTCCCGAGTAGCTGGGATTTCAGGTGTGAGCCATTATTACTGGCTAATTATTTTTTATTTTTGTAGAGACAGAGTCTCCCTATGTTGCCCAAGCTGATCTTGAGCTCCTGGGCTCAAGCAGTCCTCCCACCTTGGCCTCACGAAGTGCTGGGGTTACAGGCATGAGCCACCATGCCCCGCCAACTTTAAAAAAATTTACATTTAAAAAAGGCTAATATGGGCCAGGACCAGTAGCTCATGCCTATAATCCTAGCACTTCAGGAGGCCATGGTGGGAGGACTTTGTGAGCTCAGGAGTTCAAGACCAGCCTGGGCAACACTGGGTGACTCTCTCTACAAAAAATAAAAATTAAAAAGTATTACCTAGTCATAATGGCTCACACCTGTAGTCTCAGCTGCTCAGGAGGCTGAAGTGGGACGATTGCTCGAGACCAGGAGGTGGAGGCTGCAGGGAGCCGTGATCGTGTTACTGCACTCCAGCCTGGGCAACAGAGCCAGATCCAAAAAAAACAGGTTGAGGGGGAGAAAAAAGGCTGACATGACAAAGCATTAGCAATCATGAAATCTGGGTGATAAGCTTATTGAGTTTTACTATATTCGTCTTTCTATGTGACTCTACCCAGGCTGGAGTACAGTGGTGCAATCTTGGCTCACTGTAACCACTGCCTCCTGGGTTCAAGTGATTCTCCTGCCTCAACCTCCCAAGTAGCTGAGATTACAGGCACCTACCACCATGCCTGGCTAATTTTTATATTTTTTGTGGACACAGGGTTTCACCACATGGACCAGGCTGGTCTCAAACTCCTGACTTTAGGTAATCCATCCACATTGGCCTCCCAAAGTGCTAACATTACAAGTGTAAGCCACCACACTCGGCCAACTAAACACTTTGGTAATAAAAAGTTAAACACTTTAATTTTTTGTTTTAAAATAATTTCAAACTTACAGAAAAATTACTCAAATCATACCAAAAATTCACTCAACTCACCACTATTAACATGTTGCGTTGGCCGGGCGCGGTGGCTCAAGCCTGTAATCCCAGCACTTTGGGAGGCCGAGGTGGGTGGATCACAAGGTCGAGAGATCGAGACCAACCTGGTCAACATGGTGAAACCCTGTCTCTACTAAAAATAAAAAAAATTAGCTGGGCATGGGTCGAGAGATCGAGACCAACCTGGTCAACATGGTGAAACCCTGTCTCTACTAAAAATAAGAAAAATTAGCTGGGCATGGTGGCACGTGCCTGTAATCCCAGCTACTCAGGAGGCTGAGGCAGGAGAATTGCCTGAACCCAGGAGGCGGAAGTTGCGGTGAGCCGAGATCGCGCCATTGCACTCCAGCCTGGGTAACAAGAGCGAAACTCCATCTCAAAAAAAAAAAAAAAAAAAAATGTTGCCAAGTTTACAGTAACATTCTGTCTCCATTCACACACACGTAATATTTTTCTAAACCATTCAGACAGTTAAAGGCCTAGCACAGTGGCTCACACCTGTAATCCCAGCACCTTGGGAGGCTGAGGTGGGTGGATCACCTGAGTTCAGAAGTTTGAGACCAGCCTGGTCAACATGGTGAAAACCCATCTCTACTAAAAATACAAAAATTAGCCAGGCATGGTGGTGCATGCCTATAATCCAGGCATCCCCAAACTTTTTACACAGGGGGCCAGTTCACTGTCCCTCAGACTGTTGGAGGGCCGCCACATACTGTGCTCCTCTCACTGACCACCAATGAAAGAGGTGCCCCTTCCTGAAGTGTGGCGGTGGGCCGTAGTTTGGGGATGCCTGCTATAATCCCAGCTACTCAGGAGACTGAGACAGGAGAATCACTTAAACCCAGGAGGCAGAGTCTGCAGATCATGCCACTGTACTCCATCCTAGACAACATAGCAAGACTCTTGTCTCAAAAAAAAAAAGGTAAGATGTAGGCTCTACATATCTTTATCCCCAAAAAACTAGGGGTATACCCTTACAATCCAGGACATGCTCTTATATAACTGGAACACAATTTTCCAAAACAAGAATGAACATTATTAGTATGCATCTGGTGTCGTGCAGCCATATACAAATTACATCAACTGTCCCAGTGACGCTCTTTAATAGTAATTCGAAGAAATTATTTAAAACAGCTAATCTTTTAAAAAGATGTTTGTAAAAAGTTCATAACGAGAAGAATGAGACCAGGTATGATGGCTCATTCCTATAATACCAGCACTCTGGAAGGCTGAGGCAGAATAATCACTTGAGCTCAGGAGTTAGAGACCAGGCTGGGCAACAGAGTGAAACCCCGTCTCTGCAAAAAATACAAAAATCTGTTGGGGATGGTGGAGCGTGCCTATAGTCCCAGCTACTTGGGAGGCTAAGGCAAGAGCATCATCTGAACCCGGTAGATCAAGACTGCAGTGAGCTACGATTGTGCCACTGCACTTCAGCCTCAGTGACAGAGCGAAAGCCTGTCTCCAAAAAAACCAAAAAGATGATGCATATTAGGGTGGAAGAAAGATTCTTTAAATAATCCCCAATAAGATGTTGACAACGGGCAGAAAAAGATGTACAAAAAGAAAACCACAAGGTGGCTGGGCATGGTGGCTCACACCTGTAATCCCAGCACTTTGGGAGGCCGATGTAGGTCGATCACCGGAGGTCAGGAGTTCAAAGCAGCCTGGCCAACATGGCAAAACTCTGTCTCTACTAAAAATACAAAAATTAGGCCGGGCGCGGTGGCTCAAGCCTGTAATCCCAGCACTTTGGGAGGCCGAGGCAGGTGGATCACGAGGTCGAGAGATCGAGACCATCCTGGTCAACATGGTGAAACCCCGTCTCTACTAAAAGTGCAAAAAATTAGCTGGGCATGGTGGCACGTGCCTGTAATCCCAGCTACTCAGGAGGCTGAGGCAGGAGAATTGCCTGAGCCCAGGAGGCGGAGGTTGCGGTGAGCCGAGATCGCGCCATTGCACTCCAGCCTGGGTAACAAGGGCAAAACTCCGTCTCAAAAAAAAAAAAAAATACAAAAATTAGCCAGGCATGATGGCACACACCTGTAATCCTAGCTACCTGGGAGACTGAAGCAGGAGAATCGCTTGAACCCAGGAAGCAGAGGTTGCAGTGAGCTGAAATCGCACCATTGCACTCCAGCCTGGGAGACAGAGTAAGACTCCATCTCAAAAAGAAAAGACCAGAAGGAGGCATACTAAAATGGTGACAGTGGTTGCCTCTGGGTGTTTCCTTACTACTGATCTGCACATGTGTTTTTTTAACCAACATTTCCTATGGTGAGACAGTATTATTTTTCGAAGGAATGGGGGATGGGAGGGGAACAATGTCAATAGTAACTATACTTAATATTTTAAAAACCCAAATCTGTCAGGTTGAACATGATGTCTAGGCAAGAAAGAAATAAATAAATACCAAAACCTGAACCTAAAGCAAAAGCAGTCCAGTGTATAGCTGTCCCAGGCCAAGCCTTCTGCAGATATTTAAACTGCTCATGGCTCATATGTTTATCACATTCAAGGTGATAGACTTGGGGACAGAGTTGGTGTCTCTGAGCCCACATGGCCAGCACAGGCAGACTCAGGACAACTCTGCAGAAGAGCAAAGCAGAGAGAAGTCATGTGGGGAGCTCAGCATGGTCGTTCGTTCGTTCGTTCATTCATTCATTCATTCATTCATTCCCCACCACCTCCCTGAGATCTCAGGAGCCCAGCCTTACCCTGTGATACACCAGAAGGTGATCCTGGACAGCAAAGAGGTGCTGGACTCTGGGCAAAGATTCTAGTGGAAAGAAAGAACAGGTTAGGGAGGAAGAGGGAAAGGAACGATTCAACTTTTCATCCAGGTCAGGGCTTGGCAAGTAGTCATCAGCTGCCCGTTCTTCCTTCAAGAGGACCAGTGTCTGCTCCATACCATTCTGCACCCCAAAAGGATTCTCTCCTAAGCCCCAGGAGAAAGAAACTAATAGCAACTCCTCTCATTTCACTCAACAGAGTGTCTACCAGGTGCAACCACGATACAACAAGCTATTGACCTGCCTTATCCTCTATCTCCACAGCAACCCTAGGAGCTGGTGTTACCATCATCCCCACTTCACTCATTCGTCCAACAAATATTTTCTGAGCACCTACTATGTGCTAGACACTCTACAAGGTACTACAGGGTTACCTTAGATCCCCACAACAACCTCCTAAGCTGGCATTACTATTGTCCTGATTTTCTTCATCAGGCATCGAATAGTTATTGACCACCTACTATGAGTTAGACATGCTACCAAGAACTTACATATGTGCGTTATTTTATATCCTCATGGAATTCTATAAACATGGTATTACTATTATCCACTTCATTCATTCATCCAACAAATATTTCCTGAGCACCATCCATGTGCCAAGCACCCTGCATACAAATCTAAACAAACAGAAATTACCCCTGCCTGTATGGAGCTTGTGGTCCACTGCAGTAATCATCAGTAATACCTGCCAAGATTCTCTACCATTAATAGCTAGCTCTGTTCTAAATGCTTTACACAAATTATCCCATTTAATCTTCATCCCCACCTCACAAGGCAGGTGAAAGTATTACATTATCCCTGTTTTGCAGTTTAAAAAAAACTGGGGACCAGAGATGAAATGATTTGTTCAAGGTCCCACAGGTAAAAGTGGTGGAGACAGGACGTGAGCCCCAAAGAGTCAGGCTCCAGAGAGACATGCATCAAATGATCACACAAACAAATGCAAAACTGCAACTTCTGGGCCTTGATATGTGTCCTGAAGATAAAGAAATATTACCAATGAGACAAAGTCAGCACATGGGGGCTGATCTGGTGTACCAAGTTCAGAGGTGCTCCCCCAAGGAAGACAGTCAAGCTGGTGCCTGAAAGATGAGTAGAGAACAACTAAGGAATGAGGAAAGGCAAGGCATTCCCAGCAGACAGCAGCATGTGCAAAGGCCTGGTGACAGAAGGAAGCATTGCAGACTTCAGGAACCAAGACGGGGCTTGAGCAGTCTACATTGAAGGCTGTGCACAGTCTACACTGCAGGCCACATATTTTGGTATTCATTCTAAGGGCAAGGGAAAGTACTGAGAGACGCTAAGCAAGCTATCAAATAATTTATTTCCCAGAGGCACGAAGATGAGCCCCAACTCAACATACAGGCAAGGAAAGGGACCGACACAGAGTTCTGGGATAACAGACCAAGCCTGGCTTTCAACACAGATGCATTCAGGTCAAAATTCTGAAACACAAGCTTTAAGCAGGAGAAGAAGAAAGGTCACCATGTAGCATTGAGAGCTTTAGCCAAGGACTCCACTCAAAGTCCCAGCCTTGTGCAGAGATAAGGTGTTTACAGAGCTCAATAAAGCAGCATACGCTCCTCAAGTGGTTTTCCATCCAAGGCTGGGTGTGCTTTTTAAAAAATACTGTATCCTGGCAGGGTGTGGTGGTTCATGTGTATAATTCCAGCACTGCGGGAGGCCAAGGTGGGTGCATCACTTGAGGTCACAAGTTGGAGACCAGCCTGGCCAACATGGCAAAACCCTGTTTCTACTAAAAATACAAAAATTAGCTGAGAGTGGTTGCTCACAACTGCAGTCCCAGCTACTCAGGAGGCTGAGGCAGGAGAATCACTTGAACCCAGGAGGCAGAGGTTGCAGTGAGCTGAGATCCCACCAATGCCCTCCACTATGGGGACCCTGTTTGTATCTGGGCCCTATCCTCACCAGGGATTCTGATTAAGCTGGTTTGGGGTGTGACTGGGGCCCTGAAACTTCGTTTTTGTTTTAAACGTTCACATTCTTCTTGGAAAAGTAGCTGGGCAGCAAATATGCAAGATAAGCCAAGAACAGTGTGTCACACTGGACAACAAGGAAACTCAGCATAAACGGGATTGTTACAAGGCCCAAAAGCCAACTAGAAGTGGCACTGCAGGCTATAAAAGGGACAATTTGAGCTTGGATAAGAGAGTAAGTGCAATGGGCTAAAACATACCATGTATGTTTGGTTGGTTGGTTGCTTTTTTTGAGACAAAGTCTTGCTCTGTTCTCCCAGGCTGGAGCACAGTGGTGTGATCTTGGCTCACTGCAATCGCTGTCTCCTGGGTTCAAGTGATCCTCCCACCTTGGCCTCCCAAGTAGCTGGGATTACAAGCATGAGCCAAGACACTGGACCAATTTTTGTATTTTTAGTAGACATGGGGTTTCACCCTGTTGGTAACCAGGCTAGTCTTGAACTCCTGACCTCAAGTGATCCACCCAACTCTGCCTCCCAAAGTGCTTGGATTACAGAAATGAGCCACCGCGCCTGGCCAAAAACCTCCATTTTTACTTAAAGTTTTTTTTTTTTTTGAGACGGAGTTTCACTCTTGTTACCCAGGCTAGAGTGCAATGGCGCGATCTCGGCTCACCGCAACCTCCGCCTCCTGGGTTCAGGCAATTCTCCTGCCTCAGCCTCCTGAGTAGCTGAGATTACAGGCACGTGCCACCATGCCCAGCTAATTTTTTGTATTTTTAGTAGAGACGGGGTTTCACCATGTTGACCAGGATGGTCTCGATCTCTCGACCTCGTGATCCACCCGCCTCGGCCTCCCAAAGTGCTGGGATTACAGGCTTGAGCCACCGCGCCCGGCCTACTTAAAGTTTTAATGATTAATTTCTTTGTTTGTTTGTTTGTTTTTTGAGACGGAGTTTCGCTCTTGTTACCCAGGCTGGAGTGCAATGGCGCGATCTCGGCTCACTGCAACCTCCGCCTCCTGGGTTCAAGCAATTCTCCTGCCTCAGCCTCCTGAGTAGCTGGGATTACAGGCACGTGCCACCATGCCCAGCTAATTTTTTGTATTTTTAGTAGAGACGGGGTTTCACCATGTTCACCAGGATGGTCTTGATCTCTTGACCTCGTGATCCACCCGCCTCGGCCTCCCAAAGTGCTGGGATTACAGGCTTGAGCCACCACGCCCGGCTGATTAATTTCACATTATAGTGTGAAAAGTAATGAATCTCTAGCAGTCTTATCCCAAAAACTGGGGCTGATTATAAAGCACTACTTTGCTCAGCCCCATTTTCCTTCAAATCACCTATTTTGAGTAAATACACTAGTTTCATTTTCCACCCCTGTATAGGGGCGGTAAATACTACTAGGAAAAAAATCCATAATTAGCACCAGTACAAATTCAAGGTTTCCAACCTCAGCATAAGCATTGCTTTGTAATTTTTTTTACCCATCCCAGGTTACAGTCTCCTATTACCCCAAAATGAAATCTCAAATGTCCTCCATTCTGCATAAAACCCATGCTGGCCCCTCAGTGGAAAACATCTACCGTGAATTATGGGTCTCTTGACTTTACCTTCACACCACCAATTTCTGTCACACTGACTGTGCTTATTATCATGTATGTCTAGGATTAGACTGGACTCCTAGGGAAGAGGAACTCACATTCAGTTCTTGGTCCTGAGGGCAAAACTCCAAAGTGTAATTAAGGAAAGAAGTAACTCTAATAATTCTTTCAAGTTCTGAATTCATGGTCCTCTCAAAAATCACAGTGTGTATTCAAGCTCTGCTTATTTTCCTGATCCAGTTCTCCACCTTTGGAGGGGTCTTACAAAATAGGCCAGGATGGCAAAACTGTCTGGAGATTACTCCCACATGGTAATCTTTGCATATAAAACTCTTAGACCTAACTTTATACTAATAAAAATTTCACGATACTTTTTCTTTGGGGGGGGCAGGGTCTTGCTCTGTCACTCAGGCTGGAGTACAATTACAGCTCACTGCAACCTCATCCTCCTGAGCTCAAGCAGTCCTCCCACCTCAGCCTCCCAAGTGTTGGGGCCAAAGGCACAGGCCACCATGTGTGGCTAATTTTTTGTAGAGATGGGGTTTCACCATGTTACCCAGGCTGGTCTCAAACTTCTGGACTCACAGGATCTGCCTGTTTCAGCCTCCCAAAGTGCTGGGATGACAAGCATGAGTCACTGTGTCCAGCACCAATACCACATTTTAATTATGTGCTGAAGTGGCTGGATTGAAGGAAGAAATGGGTACTCCATTTTCTTTTATTTCCGAGTCCTAAGGGGTTTTAAGCACATTAATATTAAAGTTTAAATGCCCTAGAGCTGAAAAAGAGATTTAAAAACTTGACAGTCTCACAGTATCTGGTATAAGTTGAAGAAAATATGAAAGGCAAAGTGCTTAATATTTTAAAAGAACTTGACTGAATTTTGCATCTGTAAAAATGAAATCAGAATAATCTGAGGAAAGATTTCAGAGATGTAAAGATTTTCAGAGATGAAAAGCATGATCTGCCAAATTTAAAACAGCAATAGAAGCAGTAAGTAGCAGATGAAATGTAACCAAACAAAAATTAGTAACACAAAAAAATCAGTAAATGAATTATCCTACGACTCAAATCAAAAGGACAAAACAGATTAACAAGATGAAAGAAAAAAATGTTAGAAATATGCAGATCAACCTTACCAATACTGTGTATAGAAAGAAAACAGTATTTTTTTTTTGACAAATTTATCGAGCATCGAGCATCTAGTACACTACAGCCATGATACAATAGAGAATAAGAGAGACATGGACTGTGTCTTCAAAACGTCCACTTTCTAGAACAAATGAAGCTGAAGTAGTAACCAATGAAATTACTGAAGAAAACTACGCTTATGAAGAAAGGCGGTAGGAAGAGAAGGAAAGGAAAAAAATAAATGTATACATTTTATGTTTTAGCCAAATTTAGGGCAAAGAGATTCTGATAGAATTTCAAAGATTTCAGAGATAAAG